ATTGCTTATATAGTGAAAAAACAGATGGGAAAAGAATGCATGCAAAAGTTGATGACAAACATTTCCACCCTCTTTCCAAAAGAGATTGCATGCATGAACTATCTCAGCATGTAATAGTGTTCTTGTCTCCTCCTTTGTCTCCTTTTTTTTCCTTTTTTTTCTCTGATAATGAAAATAATATTAATATATCTAATTTTCCACTATTTACATTTACATTTTTGTGGCATTTCTCCTGATTTCAAAATCAATATTTTGAACTACAAATATCTTCATGTACATGACTTAAAATGAAAAATAACCTACAAATGAATTATTTAGATTAAATTCCTAGTTGTTCCATCATTGCAAACACATAGGAAAACAGATAAAAGTTATTAAAAATTAAAAATAAACTTACTCATTGTAATGGTGTAGAAATTATTGGTTTTAAGAAAATATACACACTCTCAAAATCAATATGAATGAAAAAGAATGATGATAACTTACCTCTTTTGCCACTCTAAATGATTTCTGCCAAACGAAGAATATCATAAGATACTATATTCTTCACTTGTGTCGCCTTCCGTTGCTTAGTGCTAGCTTTAGTTATTACACTGACATTAGCTGATTTTCGAGCTCGAGAAAGTTCGACATATAATTGTCCATGTGAAAAACAGGATCGCGGTAAAAAAAAAAACCACAACTTGACTAAGTGTTTGTCCCTAAGCTTTATTGATTGTCATTGCAAAACTAAGTTTCAAAGGAAACTGTTTTCTCTGAAACAGAAAAGGATAGTCTTCTAAATCTGATGGACGCAATGATATTCTTGGAATCAACACATACTGACCTTTATTATGTCCAACAACAATAACACACTCAATGAGATTATGAAAAAACCGCTTGCATATGAGTCTTGTTTCATTACACAAACCAGATGCTGGCTGAAGGTTTCTTAACAGAATAACAGGACTATTAACTTTTAGCTCAAGCTCATTAGGACTCATACCACCAGGGCAAAGTTTGTTTAGAAATTCAGTAGGATATACGGCACAATATTTATCAATCATAGTGTCATAACTTTTATACAATATTGATTCACCCAGGAATTTGCAAATTAAACTTGAATTTATGGCATCAACATCCTCATTCATCGTTGTCAATATAGCTCTTGTAGTAAAAATGTCTAAACTAAATGGAAACATATCCATTTCTGGAAATGCTACAGCTGTTAGATGTACATCATCAACTATTCTAGTACAACAAGGCTTAACAATATCTGATGGTAGCTCAATAAACGCATCCTCCGTTTTTGGCAATTCATCATTTCCTAGTGCCAACAGAAAAGTTGCATATGCAAGTTTATCTTTAGCCCTTAAGTTTTCAGTAAGCCTGAACTTCAGCAGTTGTAGCCACAGAGCACAACTAACTAAACTTGCAGCAATTGCTTCTCTCTGTGATTTGCGTGGAACAATTGGAAGAACTTGTCTAAAATTCCCACCAAAAACTACTAATTTGCCTCCAAATAATACACTTGAATGGCAAATATCTCTGAGTAGTGAATCGAGGGATTCAATATTTTCCTTCTTAGCCATAGAAGCTTCATCCCAAATAATTAACGTTGTTTCCCTTAAAAGTGCAACTAGACTTCCCTGCTTAGGAACATTACAAGCAAGTGAGCCCGAAGGATCTAAAGGGATTTTAAATCGTGAATGCGCTGGCTGCAGCAATACCCGAAGTTGCTGTTGGTGAAACAATCTTATTCATTGATATGATTTCTTCATAAAGAGCATTATATAAAAAAGTTTTCCCCGTTCCACCAGGACCATCTATGAAAAAGGCACCAGGCTTCCCCTTTGTAACATGATCCATTATGACATCGAATGCAACTCGTTGAGCCTGATTTAACTTATCTTTACATTCTAAACACTCTTGTGGTATCGGAGCATTCAATGCATCTTCTATATCTTTCGTAACATGTATAGCATCACCATCATCTTTTACTAAATTATGTAACCCAAAAGCCTTCAACGAACTTCCCATTGACTTAATTAATTGCTTAATTGATCTTACGATTAACTATTTCACTCTTGCACCATCTGTAGGATATTTATATTGGTAATCTTCTGAAAAAAAATCATAAGATTTTGACCACAAAGACAGAGGATTGCTAGGCTGACAGAAAATAAGTATTGTGACAACCAATTTTTGAATAACATGAGGCATATGGATGGCACATCCTTCAGTCAAGCACAATTTAATTGCATCATCTTCTTCCACTAATCCTAACTTTAGTGCTGCCTGCTGAAAAGTGGCATAAATGTGTCCATTGACTGTACATAGATCTTTAAACGACTTCGAATTTCTGACATTGTGAAGCAGCAACCGCAAATAGTATCTTTCACCTTCAGAAGGTCCAACAAATGCTAACCTTCCAATTTGGATTTATTTTTTATTTCTTCTTTTCTACCACAGTTTATCTGATGCATTCCACCAATAGTGCTCTGAAATTCATTATATAGCCATCCTGTTCCCAAAGCTGATTAATAATTCATTTTGAAGAACTTTGTTAAACAGGTTCTAGTACGCTTAGCGTCAGAAACAATTGATGTTAGTTTTTTGTGAGGTCTCATTTGTATCAGCTGGGAGTTAGGCAAATGAACAGGAAGAGGTAAAACTGAAGGATACATTTCATATATATCAAAACCAAAAAGATGCCACACAACCTCACAGGGTGAAACCCATCGACCAGACTGATACTGTTCGATCTCATCTTGCACATGAACTCCTTCTGTTGTTTTTGGCCTTTATAAACTTACTTATACAGATACTTCACTGCTCCAATAGTTGAACAAACTTCAACATTTAAGTGACAATTGAAATAAGCTAAAAGATATGGATTATATGGAATCACCCATGAGTTATCCATTTCAACACCCCAAACTTTAACAGTATCACACGTAGCTCTCCTTCGATACAAAGGATATTCATCACTATTACTTTTTGTTTCTTCATAATTTTTCTTTGGATAACCATACTTACAATGTCCACGTTGTTCATTATGTTTCATACAAGGGCATTCTGGATTAAGATGACCACATGGACCGTGCATCATATGCTTGATCACAATCTCTCTTAAATATCCATTTTCAGAAGATGGAATTTCAACACAAACAAACTTATCAAAGTCATCAAGAGTTTTTATTTTGATTCTGATTTCAAAATAATGAGAAAATGAGCATGAGGTAAACCTCTTTTTTGGAATTCAATAACATAAATCATTGCAGCCACTTCTCCAAATATTTTCTTCTTCCTAATTAAATGTTTAAATCAAGTACCTTTGCTCTAAAAACTCTTGAAACGATATCTGGCCTATTTTGTGCTTTTTCTCCAGCAGCAAGTTCTTGTTTAATTTCAGGCTAATTAGGATTGCTTGTCATTGTTATAAATAAATCAGGCTTGCCAAACCTTTGAACTAATGACATCGCATTCAAATATCTCTTCTTCAAATCTCGAGGGCCACCTATAAACGTTGCAAGTAATATAACTCGTCTTCCAACATTTGCTATAGTATCAAGAAGTCCTTGATAAAGATCAACCCTTATTGTCTGTTGGTTCCTTTGAAAGAAATCCAAGCGTGTATTCTCTACCTTGACATACATATCAACGATATATTGTTGAAAACATCTTCCAGCTCTGAGCAACTAATTTCTCGGACGACATTGAAGCCTATATGCATAATATTCTCGCGCTGAAATATGTTTATCTCCCTTAGATGAACCTTCATTTGCACCTACAAATCAATATTTGGATAAAGAAGAAAAAAATTAGTAATAAAAGCATGTATATGACATACTTCCTCCGTTCTTTTATTATTGCACCACTTGCCTTTTTAGGAAGTTTCACAAATATTGCACCATTTCCTCTTTAGGAAAAAAATTATTTGTGTTCACACTGCAAATACCCAACATACCCTTGCTTTTTCACACTTACTTTTTAGTTTATCAATATGTTACATGGGCAATTTTGTATTTTTACCTTTCTCTCTCTTACTTTTTTCCACTACCAAAATATTTACATCTAACCCCTATCGTGCAATAATAAAAAAATGGAGGAAGTATATAAAAATCAAATATACTTTATTAATTAAAAATAAAAGATATGAACTCATACGCCTAGCTTCTTCATCTAACAACTCTTCAGTAGTATGTATACTACATGAAGAAACTGGATCTGGTGTAACTGCTGTATTACACCCATAGACATCTTCTTTAGTCCTTGAGTCCACCCACAATCACCATATGGAAATAGCAAAAGATACTGTAAAGGATCATATCAACCATAATAGTGTTGGATAATATGAGAAGAATCATCTACACCAGTAACCAATATGTGTGGACTTTCAGACTCACTGGAAGAAGTATTCTCTGGCCAAATAACAACAACCTCATCTATAGTTCGAGCATTATAAACACACACTACTACAAAATTATCCAAAGAGATCATCTCAAAATTGCCAAAGAGACCATTTTAGGTGTGGTCTCTAGCTAAGAGGTGTCTTTGGCCAAAGAGACCACTTCATCAAAAGTGATCTCTTGTTTAAAAAACTGAGACCACCTAGCTAAAATAGATGGTCTCTTTTTTTAATTTAATAATAAATAATATAGAGGAATAGAGACCAAATGTTTTAAATAGGTGGTCTCTAGATTTAAAAACTAAGACCACCTATTTTAACATAGGTGGTCTCTCCATGGTCGTTTTTTTAAAAATAATAATAATAATAATTATATTCGCATGATCTGAATTGATTCCCTGTAATTTTGCAATTCATATTCCTGCAATTAATTTTGGCGCCAACACATATACATACACATAAATTTTCCATATAATGCGCATATATATATATATATATATATATATATATATATATATATATATACATACATATATATATATATATATATATATATATATATATATATATATGTATATATATATATATATATAAACTTTAATACAAAAACTAATTCTGTCCAACAGAGTTTAACCCAAAATTTACATTAATTCTAATATTAAAAAACAAAACTCAAAAGTAGAGCTTTTCCTATAAAAAAAAAGGTTCAAAAGTGGAGCTAGATGTACAAGTATAATGATTAACAGTAAGCTAATCTCATACTCAAGCTCATCTCATTCTTCATTTAGCTCATCCATCACGAATCTTCTTCATCTGGCTCATGATCAAGAACATATTTAATCCACAAATCTCGCATTTCATCAATGTCTTCCGAAGAATATGTACAAATCGAGTGAAAGACCTGCAACATACAACATATGCCATCAAATATGAGTATAATTTATTTATTTATTTTTGACGGAAATCAAAGAGATATTTATCCAAAAGCCGAAAATCAAACATAACAAAGCACATTGATGAACATCCTCAATCCACAACCTTAGCTCACTTTTTATTTTTAACAAGAAAAGGAAATAAATTACAACTTAGATGTTAAAACATCTAGCACATCAGAGTTTGTATCCAGAAGCTGGAGGTGAAGGAAATTGGTGATGAAGCTGAGACTAGAACTGATACTGGTACTGATGGCCCACCGGGCTTAGAAAAGGACAAGGCACAAGGTCAGCACGGAAAAGATCAGTTTTCTGAGTGTATCAACCTGATTACAGGTTATGGACACTGTGAACAGGCCATCTTGAGCATCAGTCAGGTTGGCAACATGAAAGGTAACATCAGGTGGATGTAGGGATAACATTGGCTTACAGGAAGGCCAAATGCTCACTAAGAAAATTAGTGATGTTCATTAGGTTTCACTGTGTTTCTGTTAGATATATTTCTTATAGGGGGTAGCTTCCCTTTTTCCAGCTGTCAAAAAAAAAAAGTTTGCTTACTAGCTGAAAATTGCAAACCAAGCTCAATGGCCGCAGAAGTGGCAGAAGGCAGACCATTGTTATTTTCCATCAAGCTTGCAAGGAGGCTCGGGTATGAGGAGTTGGTGCTTGAATCAGATTGCCAGGTGCTGATAAATAGGCTATCAAAGTTGAAAATTACAGTCTTGATTTCATGGAGTAGCATAATATGAATTATATGCTATTACCTTTAATTTATCACAGGTTGGTATAGATGTTAGCCCATCACACCCTTAGCTCACTTAATTTCAGGAATTGGCGTATTTAAGACATAACAAAGCAAAGAAAAGAAATGAATTTCAGAACTGAAAATCACAACTATAATGAAATTCCAAAGGGGGATCAGACCTCCAATTACAAAGTTCATTCATATCTTAATTTCAAGACTGATTCAAAAATGAAAAGCAGACTTGACAATCAGAATACAAAACCTTATAGTTATTACAGATTAGCAGATTGCATATTATACCAATTGCATAAGCTGATTATACCAATTTAAATGACATATTTGTAATCTACCTGCTTGGAAACCCATAACACTCTTTTCTGCACAATCTCTAGCATATATCGACAAACAAAGTATCCACAATACTTGGTGTATGCTGGTTGACGAGGACACTAAAATAATGCAAAAAAATAATCATTAACACGATATTAGATTTTAGGATTAAATTGCATAATATCAACTGCGGTAAAACATTAGATCACTTACTTGTGGTTGCTCCCACCTAATATATGCATTCTTTTTTATTTTCTTGATGTCCTTCCAATGGACCGAGCTGAATTGTTTGATTCCTCTACACAATTACGTGAAGATAGGAGAATCGTAATAGTTTCCAAAGACGCAGTAAGAACAAAATCAGAAGTTAATGACACAATTATTGCAATTATACTTACTCAGTGATAATCTTTTCAGGGAATGAGTTGATTTTATTTTCTGCTCCAAGTGGATCTAGCCAATACACCAACCCATTCCAGGGACTAATAACAGCTAACGTCCAATGCATACTACATATATTAAAGCGTAAATAATGAACAAGAATAACAATCAAAGTTACATAATTACATAACAAAGAAACTATACTTACTTGTCATTAAAAGGAGCAAAGAATAGCTGATTATAGTTCTTCCCCTCATTGCACTCAAAAACACGAGCTAAATAGTTAGATCGAACTTACTCGTTTGTCGTTGGTTTCAAAGGCGATAGAACATTAGAGTCACAAAACCCATACATTCCCGAGATACCTTATTTGTGATAATGTTCTTTCAAGAGCCTTATCCCATTAAAAGATGCAAATATGTAAGAGAACAGGCCAAAAAAATTCCACATTGTAATTAGAAACTAAACTAGAGGTGAACTTACTTCATGAATATATTCATTTGCGATTCTCCAACCTCCCTTTGGAAACACCAATCAATCAAGTCTTCGTAATCAAGTGAAACATTTAACCCATTTTCGTTAAGAAACATGCTCTCTGGAATAGTTATAGAGATGGTATCGCCGGTATTTTGCATCCCCATAGCTTTTTTTCTCATAACACACATCAAAATAGATGTCACCTTCTCACGATCCTTGTCGGTAATCACATACTTACGAGTTGTTGATGCATGGGAGGATTTAGATTGTGGGGATGGTGTGGTCACATCAACTTCTTTATCTGATTGCTTGTTGGCCTTTATAATATGTTTTCACATGAAAAATAAAACAAGACTATCATAAAAAAATGCAAGGAACAACACAGCAGAAAGTAAGAGGGGATAGGAACCGAAAAACTAAGTTGTTGCCCTGCACGCAGGGCTGCTGCCCCTGCAGGCCGAGGGCGGCTTGCGCCCCTGCAGGCTAGGCGCGACTGCTGCCCCTGCAGGCCAGGCGCGGCTGCTGCCCCTGCAAGCCAAGCAGGGCTACTGCCGCTGCCAGCCAGGTAAAGCCAGGGCCGTAGCTGGGGTAGGGCAGGTGGGGCAACCGCCTTGGGCCCAGCTTTGTGAAGCCCAAAATTGGTACAATCTTCCACCATTGGGAAAATTGTTGTCCACCCTTGACAAACAAAAAAATGAAAATGGGAAAAGAAAACATTTTACATCAAATCAAACAGGGCCTAAGTGAAAGTCTCATGAATATTCATCAGCAAAATACAGTGTAGTTATTACAACTTTCATGACAAACCAACAACAAATCGAAACATAGATTAGGGAAAGCTATGAATGAAGCTGGAGACTGTAAACCCCTATCGGATTCTCGGTCCTCGATTAAACGGTCAAAAGGCATACAGGAACACATATAGGTATACTAGATTATTACAGCAGCCATACTCTTGTTCCAACCAAGGTTCAAATCTTAGCTTTTCTTCAGGAAGAACAAGCAACCAGTTTCAGACATTTTATCATTGTTTCCATATTCAAGAACTTTATATGTTAGTAAGCTTTGCATTGATTCATCTACAAATTTGGCTTGAATTAATTAAGAATAACTCCACTAAAATTCAACGAATAACAAATTGTATGAACAATTACACTATAACATTAAAAATTTAAAATCATCGTAACAAGTTCAATTGAAATTGAACTTCTTATTTTTCTCAAATTGCACCAAAATTACAAAACTTATATAATCAAATTCCATAAATTCATGAACAACATCCAGAATGTCAGTGACCGCCCTGCTTGGCTGCAGCGGCAGCAACCCTGCCTGGCCTACTCAATAAATAAATTTAAAAAAAAAACTAATTTAAAACTACTAATTTACTACTTGTATAACAATCTGAATTTAGTAATTTTAGGTTTATTCTGTACAATCTAAACTTTAATTAAGATTCTAAAAAAGTAACAACAAAAGCATTTAATTAAGATAAATGTGATGATGCACTTATTTAGCAGTTAATTAGATAAAGTAACGGTTTATTTTACGTGTAGTAGTTTTTTGAGCTTATCATACTCATGGAGTGATGAGTATTGAGTAGTTCGAGTAGTAAATTAGTAGTTTTAAATTAGTTTTTTTTTTTAAAATTTATTTATTGAGTAGGCCAGGCAGGGTTGCTGCCGCTGCAGCCAAGCAGGGCGGTCACTGACATAACTTTAAACAAAAAAAATGAAGCATAAAGACAGTAGAGCACAGTAGCACACAAACAGCTTAAAATCAAGGAAGAATACTACCTTTTTGGGGAAAATCAAATGATTAGGCCAAGCTGTATAAGATCTCTTAGCATGACATACAAAAAGCAATTCATTGTTTGGGCATGGCAGAGGAGCAGTTGGCACAATATCTTCTGTTATGGTGACTCGACGATGACCAGAGGGCAACGATATGGTATGATTACCAAGAACTTATGTGCTGCTTTCTATGAAGACTTGTCTGTTAGCAACAACTTGTAGTTGTTTGTCGCTTCCCTCAATTGCCAAGCAATAGTCACTCCATCCCTAAAAATGAGAACACAAGTTGTCACAAAAGAGTAGTAAAGTCCAAGTCAGCATTCATAACTCAATAGGAGAGTCAAAACATTCAGAATTCAGAACTATCCAAAATTTAGCATGAGAGTTTCTCTAAAAGTTGCAAAAAAAAAAAGGTACTCAAAAAAAAGAAAAAAGAAATAACCTCATAAATCTAACATAAAGCCAAGATCATATAATCATATGTGCAAATATATAACTTTTGATCTTCAGGTCAGTTTTGAAATCATCGGTTTTAACATTTTGTTCAGATCTTCAGTTCTGAACTTCAATTTCTGATAATTATGCTAGATTTCAGATTTTGTTTAAGAAGGACAGATGTGCAAAGTATGGCTAACCTCGGGAAATGTATGGTTGCTGATGGTATCCACAACTTGACTTAGCAGTGCGGGGGTTGTGGTATGTACAAATTGATCGATAAGGTTCACCTCAGGCCATTGGACACGATATGGCTATATCTCAAGAATTTGAAGATGAGGCTGATGCACAATAGTGCTGTTTGTATGATGAGCTTCTGCATTTAACTTAATTTCATGTGCATAGTAGGCCTCTTCATGAGATTTATCCCCTGGTGAATCGTATCTGAATTGTGGCCCTTCACCGTCAAGGTGTTCCATACCTCCAATTAAGAGTTGTGTCAACGGGATCTCATAACCAATAGTGTTGTCTATCTGAGCATCATTGAACCCAATATCTCCCGACCCTTAGCTGGTAGAACCATTGGAGTTAGGGGTGTTCAAAAAAAAACCGTCCCGATTACTCGATGACCCCGAGAAAAACCCGACGGGTAATTTGTCAATTTTTAGCATTTTTCGGGTCGGGTACCCGACCGAAAAAATTGCCTGGTCGCGGGCCGGGTCATGGGGCACACTTTGGTTAACTCGGGTACCCGACTACCCGTATGTATCAACAGCAATATTAAAAGAAAAAAAGCCACCTAGGGTTTTAATTTCAAGAAAACACAACTAGCCGCCTAGCCTCTCCTCTCCTCTCTCCTCTTCTTCTCAGTTTCTCACTCTAAAACACTTTTCCATCTTTTATTCTTCAATGTTCTTCTCCTACCTTGCTTATAAAGTTATAATACAATATTTATTCCTCTTGACTTTGTAGATCTCGTAATTGATTATTTATTTGCATTTTGGGTCTTATTCGAATTATAGGGGGAGTGGGTGGTTCGATTTTGTGAGGGCATCTTCACTTTCTGGGTTGTAATCGAGGAAAGGTGGTGGACTGGTGGTGGTTGATTGTGGGTCTTCAATTTCGTGGCAAGAATCGCGTGGTGCCTTTTGATGGTGAATAATGATTTTGATGATGGATGGTATTGATGATGATGTAAGTGACGGTGGGAGGAAGACAACTACTAATGAAACTGAGTTTTTTTTTTTCTTTTTTTTTTTTATATTAAATCTTTAATAAAGATTTATTTTTAGTTGTACACTTATTATACTTCTAATTGTGTGTAGTTTTAGCTGTACTTATTCTAATTTTCTGAAGGTTGGGTAGAAGATTCTTGATTGTTTATCATTTTTCATATTTTGGGCAAATTATTATCATATTGAATCCGGGTACCCTATGACCCGACCCGATAAAATCGGGTACCCGAATCCCGGATACCCGGTTTTCTCGGGTCGGGGCATGGACCGAGTTTCAAACTACCCGAAGATCCGGGTACCCGCTGTTTCGGGTACCCGAAAACCCGGGTACCCGGATTTGAACACCCCTAATTGGAGTCACCACCAAAACAAAAATTTTTACCAGAAACGCCAAGCAGGCCAGCTAAACATGTAGTGTCAGTGTCACCACCAAAAACACCTTGCCGAGCACCACCAGCCATGAATGCTCTCAATTGCTCTTGGTTCAAGCATGACATCATGAATGACACTATAAAATTCTGTTGCTTCATCATGTATGCCATCTTTGAGTTCATCGCATTCATTTTAGCATTCACTTCGCTAGGTGCAGGTGGTGTGTTAAACCCAAAGTACTCTGTGTTAGTTACTCCAGATCCAACACCCCTTACAGAACCACCCCGTTCTTGCTTGTCCAACGCTCTTGCTAAGATGTCATCTCTACCTGTAGAGAGTATTTCACCTTTTTTAACTTGTGCCTCCAATCTAATCTTGAAATTTTCACAAATAATTATATCAGTCACTAAATAATAATCTTAGTGACCCAAAAACAAGAAAAAAAAATGTAATATATCTTACTATTGCATCATGGATTTCCTTATCAGCAGGATTATCAAAAGTTAAAACTCCATTCTTCTGTGGGAATGAGCTTTGATCCAAGTCAAATGTCGAGGCACGTATGAAACATGTACTCCTTGCTTCTCCAGCTCTTTTTCCTAACATTGCAAATAAAAATAGAATATATAGCTGAAGCACAAAGGATTTCAAAAGTTATAAAAATCTCAATTAAGTTCTCTAAATCTTCGTTTATTAAAGTAACAGGAAAGAGCATGGTGAGGATTGTCACTATTAATCTAATTAATGAGGCAAAACAGAACACTTTTCTTCAAAATCATGAAATAGCAGAGAACTGAATATAGCAAAAAAAAATTTGAAGACAGAAACAAAAGGTTACAACAATAAGAACTCACTGTTTTCATAAAGTAGTTATGAAAGGATTAGCATATACTTACAATTGTTTCTTCAAAATATTGATAGCCAAGTCTGCCACCTCGATATTTTGAGGTCCTCTTCTTCGAACTTTCACGATTTCTTTCACTCAATTTCTACAATAATTATATTTGATGTCAGAGTTAAACCACACAAATTTTAAATTTAAACAAAAAAACAATATAGACAAAATAAATGCCAACGTAGTGAACTTGCACCTTGAAGTCCCTAGAAATACAAGCTTGAATGAATTTTTCCCAATCATCTTTAGATATAAAAGGATACTTCAATGGTGGAGAATTGTTGATCGTTCCATCTTTCAGGTACAACCACTTGAGCCTTAGGCCATGTTTGGTAATTGGCTTTTTAATGGCTTTCTAGTTAGCTTTTGGCTTTTGGCTTTTTTAGGTGGTCAAACAGCCAAAAAATGTGTTTGGTAATTGGCTTTTTAGTCAACGAAAAAGCTGGCTTTTAAGCCAAAATGAAAAAGCTGCTTTGAGTAGCTTTTTGTTGGCTTTTGGCTTGTTAGCCCACAAATTATCTAATAAACAGCCAACAATCAACAATTAATTTACCAAACACTTTTATAAACAGCCAGCTTAAACAGCCAATTTCAAAAGTCATTAAAAACAGCCAAACATTCCAATTGGTCAAACAAGCCAAGTGAACCAGCCAACAGCCAACCGCCAACAGCCATTTGCCAAACAAGACCTTAATCTAGTCTTGAAAGCTCTCCATCGAATGCAAGCTCGTTTCATAATCCAACCTTTACGACCCTCAAGGACATGAAACCCCCTCTGTATCCAAAATAAATTCAACCGTTCATCATATGTAAAAGTATCTATAATTCAGTTTCTCTTCCTTTAAAATATAGACGTTGATTTCATACCAAGATATTCTCATACAAATCATCAACGAGTGCTTTAGGTAGGTCTGACCACTTTCTGTAGGTGATACTCACTTTTTCACGGACAACTACACCAATGTAGGTGGAGAAATGACCTCTATGAACACCGATAGGGATTCTCCTGGTTGAATTCCATTGTAAAGGGATTTTTGTGCCAATCTGAATAGCTCTCCCAACCATTCGGAGCACGGTACGACCTCTTTCTTCCTCGCATTCAGAATTGTCCGTTGCGTGCACTTGCAATTTCTTTCGAGCCATCTACAAAAGGTCAACATTTAGAGTCACATGAGTAGTTGAACTCAAAAAAAAAAAAAACATCTGCTAAAAACTAAACAAAATGGAGAAGTTTAGTTTAGTAACGAGGAAATGAAAATGATTTACACAAGCACAATTTATAACACACCTACAAAGTTTTGCCATCACGCTTTCGCTTAGATCCCTTTTTTTCTTTTTCAACCCACACGCCTTCATTGTGGTCATCTCTCACATATATTAAAACATCATCGGCTACATAATCCTCAATATATCCTTGTACCTTACGCATAACATAACCATTGTCTAACACACTATCATCGCCATAATCATCATCAATATGTCAAGGATTCGGTGTTATAACTGCTGACATTTTCTTGTTTAACGGGTCAGTCATATAAAACACTTATTTTTCTTGACTTGCTAAGATGAAAGGATCTTATTTATGCCCAAATTTGTTGAGATCAACCAATGTAAGCCCAAAATTACTATGTTCGACCCCATTGTTATTATCAATCCATTGGCATTTAAAAAGAGGTACTGAAAAAGTAGAGTAATGTAACTCACAAATCTCTTTAATAACCCCATAGTACCTCATCAAACCACTCACATGATTTTTGTCTTTAGCACTGGAAAAACGCAAGGCTTCGGCCTCTAAAGTAACACCACTATTCTGCATAATACTCTGTTGATCTTGGAACCTTGTGTAAAATGTGCAACCCTTTATAACATATCCAGAATAGTAAGTAGCGTTGAAATTAGGCCCAAATGCTAAACTCTTCAATCGATTAGAAATTACAGTAGAAGAATCCATTAGCTCTATCATTACTTGAACTTTGAACCAACTAATGAATGATCTTCTATGTTCGGCAGCTAATGATTTCTCATTTGCCTTTCTGTTGCACTTCCTCAAGTAACTCATGTGTTGCTCCACATATGGCATGACTTCATCCTTATTATGAAGAATGTATGAATGTGCCTTATGCCAATCATCACTAGATAAGTCACGCTGTTTTCGACCTATGGTCCCCTCACCATCCATTCTTCCACTGTGATGAGATATAGGAAGCCCAATTCGCTTTAAATTAAAAAAAAAAAGTCACCAGTATAAGAAAGAACTTCTTCATAAAACAGTCGTTCAGCTATACAACCTTCTGGATGAAAAACATTCGTCACATATCCCTTGTAGGTTTTCATTTGTCTCTCAAAACACCACTGATTTCTCAAGTGAACCGGACCACAAAATCTGATCTCTTAAACTAAGTGGACCGGTAAATGAACCATAATATCAAAAAATGAAGGACGGGAGTACATCTCTAATTGACATAAAACTGAAACAATTTCATTCTCCAAAGTAGTCAGCTCTTTAGGATCAATGACTTTGCTATAAATCGTATGAAAAAATCCACATAGGTTGATAATAGCAAAACGAACATCTTTAGGCAAAATTGAGCGAATCGCCACAGGTAATAACTGTTGCATCAAAACATGGCAATCATGAGACTTTAGGCCTACAAGTTTCAAGGTTTCCATATTCACAAGGCTACGAATATTAGAAGAATAACCCTCAAGCACTTTCACTCCTGCCAAGCTTTCACAAAATTCGATTTTCTCTTTTCTTGACAAAGTGTAAGCAGGAGGAGGCAAGTACATTCGACCTATATCATTATCATTTGCATGGAGTTCACCTCTAATCCCCATATCCTTTAAGTCATCCCTGGCTTTTTTGCCATCTTTAGTCTTACCGTTGATATTCAATAAGGTACCAATCAAACTATCACACACATTCTTCTCATTATGCATAACATCAAGTGAATGTCTCACTAAAAGATGTTTCCAATAAGGAAGCCGCCAAAGATATGAACACTTTTTTTAACCCCTTCATAGAAAGGGTCGATTTATGTTTCTTGCCAAATGTGATTTCAATATTTTTCACCTTATCGAACACCTTTTCACCTAAGATGACTTTTGGTTGCCCTTTAAACTCTTGCTTCCCATAGAATACATTCTTTCTCCTGCGATATGGATGATTAGGCGGCAAAAATTGACAATGAACCGAATAATCATGCTTTCTAGATGCTTTTAACCAAGTTCCCTTGTAATCCTCCGTACCGATGGGACGGGTTATTTCCCCCTTTACAGTGTACCCCGAAAGGTTACCATAAGCCGGAAAATCTTGAATAGTGCAAAATAGCATTGCTTTCAAATTAAACTTCTCATTGCGATGTGCGTTAAACACTTCAACACCTTCTTCCCAAAGCATAATCAAATCATCAATAAGTGGTGTCAAATACACATCGATGTCATTTCCTGGTTGCTTTGAACCTTGAAATAACAACGACAAGAACATAAACCTTCTCTTCATGCACAATGAAGGAGGTAAGTTATAGGTGACCAACATAACTGGCCATGTGCTATATGTGCTACTCAAGGAACTAAATGGATTAAACTTATCTGTAGACAATGCAAGGCGTAAATTATGCTTTTCATTGGCAAACTTAGGGAATTTTCCATCAATAAACCTCCACTGCGGAGAGTCGGCTAGATGTCTAAGCATTCCATCATCTACTCGACTATCAAAATGCCATGTCAACTTCTTTGCATCTTCTGCTTTTGAAAACCATCGTTTGAAACTTGGTACTATAGGAAAATACCATAATACCTTGGCTGGTACTGCTCCTTCCCTTTTCTTGTACCGTAAAGCTTTACAAATTGGACAACTCTCTAATGATTCGTGGTGAGTCCGACTCACTGCGGAAACAAACCCAAAAACAAGACCGCACTCGCAATAAATAAAACCATAAACATAATTAAATTAATCACAAGGTTAAGATAAGCTAATTACCTTTGACGCGTGCTTCGCTCCAAAATGAGCTCTTACTTGAAAGCTTCAAGTCCCGCTCACACGGAGACCTCCAACGAAGTCCACCCGCACCAACAAAATCGACTAGGTCCAATGTCTTGGGGTTAGCAAGACCCGACCAATAAAACCCAAGTAATTATATTGAGTTCAAAGGTTTTCACTAATTGTGATGCCTTTTTCAACTCTTACTCAAGCATCATTCCCAATGCCCATACTTGGGTATTTATAGGAAATGATGGGAGTATCATTTACTCTCCCATCAATGTGGGATAGTATGATTTTTCCATTTTATTTTAAAGCTAAAATAAAATTAATAATCAAGCTAGTAATAAATCAACAAGTGGCAAGCTCATGTGAGTGGTTAGGTGAGGACCACTTGGAGAAGGGGGGGACCAAACTTGCTCCCCACTCCCTCTCCCATAACCGGCCACCACACTCCACGCACACTCAAGGACCACTAGCCACATGACACCCACCCTTGGGCACCAAGGCAGCCAAGGTGGGCTGCCATGTGCTGCTGTCCGTGGCAGCCACGCCCAGCAAGCCCAGCACTCGCATGCGGGCTGCCAAGCGCTGCTGGCCAGCAAGCCCAGCATGCTTGTGCGGGCTGCTGCTGGCCTTGTGCCTTGGCCAGCGCTGCTAGGCAGCAAGCAATGGCCTAGCCATGCTGCTTCTAGCTGTGGCGAGCTGGCGCGCCTAGCGTGCTAGCTGTTACAGCTTGTTGCGGCATGGCTTGCTAGCCATTGCGCGCACAAGGCTGCGCCTAGCATGCTAGCACGCACTAGGCAGCGCCTAGCCTTGCGATGCTAGCATGGGTGCGCTAGCACGCACCAGCCAGCCTAGGCTCGGCTTGGTGCGCATGCTAGCCACCATGCTAGGCCATACGCCCTTAGCACTCGGTTTGCTTGGGCATTCCGATGCTAGGGGTATTTTGGTCTTTTGTTGATTTATTAGTATTTCTCGTCTCGTCTTTCACTATTTTTTGACTCGACTTCCGACGCTTGGTTTCGACGCTCTAAGCTCGAATTTCCGACGTTTAAATAAATATTACTCGGTCGACTCATTAATTCCTTCCGAATTAATTCGTCGGTTTGGTTTTTTGAATGCTTGGGTGTGACCCGAAGGGTTCAGTCAAGATTAAGCTGTAATTTTAATTATTCATTAATATTACTGATTGAAAGCGGCCTCCACCCAGGCATTCCGATCACTTGACCTCACTGAATATATTAGCATTCTAATAATTCCGAACCCACTAACGGAATAATACACTTGTTCGAAGGACACCATTCCTTTCAATCTCCCACTTGTCCTTCTAGACAAGTGCGCATTTTGTGTACAACCTTTTTCCTACGTCGCTTAATGTCTCTTCATGAACTATAAGGTAAGATTTGTTTTGTCATCCTTATTACGTCCAGAAGTGTTTCCTGATTCCGAGTCCGACTGTCAATAAACAGATGATTTCTAAAATCCATCCGAGCACGGCCATGCATTTTACAGTCTCGCTCTACGAGAGGCCTTGTATACAACAAAGGCATCTTCCCTATTTTAGTAGGGGGACATTCCCAGTCTTGTAATGTAGCTACTCTTACTGAGAGGACCTAGTCGCCCGAGTGTTGCCGTTATAATCCCCAATTACGGCAGACGTTTGACAACATCAAAGCGAACTAGTACTCAAACAAGAGAACTTACAATACTCATGGTCGAGGAAATAGGTTCCGATAGCCATAATGAGAAGTATACTTATGACAAATTTTTAATTTCTTAAAGTATTCTCATAGGTCGATCCAGTATGGTTCTAAACCAATACCTGTGCAAATGATTTATGACAATCATGTCCTTATAGTACATGAAACGGTGCTATAAATCAGACTACACACTAATCTCAATTGGTCATTAATCGTCCATTGTTTAAATGACCTTGATTAGGGATAATTTTCGATTATAATATTCAATGTTCACTTAATAGGTGTTTTTTTACCAAGACTGGTCTTGATACCCTATTTTGAATATTCTCAGAATCGAATGGACTCATTATTTAATCCTAAACCACAATTAAATAGCATAACGGAGTAATAAAATATTGCATGAAATTTTATATTACTCCAAAACTTGAATGGTTTTCCTTAGCGTCTTACATTAATTTTTCTCAAAATTAACTAAAACACTAAACAAGGAAATCAAAGCCAGTCTCCTACATGCTTGATTCCCATTGCCTCTACATGCTTGTTGTGCTTCACATGAGGCAAAGGTTTAGTAAGTGGATCGGCTACATTGTCATCCGTTCCAACTTTGCAAATTCTAATTTCACCCTCTGATTTCCATTCTCGAATCATGTGAAATCGCCGCTTGACATGTTTGACCTTCTGATGTTCCCTAGGCTCTCTGGCCTGAGCAATAGCTCCATTGTTGTCACAATAGAGGGCTATTGGACCCTTTATAGAGGGTACAACATCAATTTCACCAACGAACTTACGAATCCAAACAGCCTCCTTAGCTGCTTCAGCAGCTGCTAAGTATTCGGCTTCAGTTGTAGAATCTGCAGTTGTACTCTGCTTTGTGCTCTTCCAACTAAACGCCCCTCCATTTAGACAGAACACATATCCAGATTGCGATTTGAAATCGTCTCTGTTTGTCTGGAAGCTTGCGTCGGTATAACCTTCCACAACTAAATCCTCTACACCACCATACACCAGGAATTTATCCTTGTTCCTTTTCAAGTACTTTAGGATATTTTTGGCCGCAGTCCAATGCGCCTCTCCTGGGTTTGATTGGTAACGACTCGTAGCACTCAAGGCATACGATACATCTGGCCTAGAACATATCATGGCATACATGATCGATCCAATAAGCGAAGCATATGGAATCTGATTCATTCTTACCCGCTCATCAGGTGTCTGTGGACACTGCTTCTTGCTTAGGGTTATGCCATGTGACATTGGCAGGTGACCTCTCTTGGCCTCCTCCATGCCAAATCGAGCAAGTACCTTATCAATATAAGTACTCTGACTCAATCCAATCATCCTTTTCGATCTATCCCTATAGATCTTGATGCCTAGTATGTATTGAGCCTCTCCCAAGTCTTTCATTGAGAAGCACTTTCCAAGCCAGGCCTTTACAGACTCTAACAACGGAATGTTGTTTCCAATGAGCAATATGTCATCGACATATAAGACTAGGAAGGCGATGTCACTCTCACTGACCTTCTTGTAAACACAAGATTCATCTGGATTCTTGATAAAACCAAACTTCCTGATGGCTTCATCGAATTGCAGATTCCAACTTCTGCTTGCTTTAATCCATAAATGAACTTCTTAAGCTTACAAACTTTCTTAGCATTGTTTTGGTCGACAAAATCTTCAGGCTGTGTCATATACACAGTTTCTTCCAAATAACCATTAAGGAAGGCGGTTTTGACGTCCATCTGCCATATTTCATAATTGTAATATGCAGCAATCGCTAGAAGGATCAGAACGGATTTAAGCATTGCGACTGGTGAAAAGGTTTCATCGTAATCAATACCATGAACTTGTCTGTAACCTTTTGCCACCAATCTAGCTTTGTAAATGAATACATTTCCATCTTCGTCGGTTTTCAACTTGAAAATCCACTTACATCCAATAGGTGTATAACCTTTGGGTAAGTCAACCAAGTCTCAAACTTAATTTTCAAACATGGAATCCATTTCAGATCTCATGGCCTCTTGCCATTTAGCAGAGTCGGTGCTTGCCATCGCTTGCTTGTAGGTTGCCGGTTCATCTCCATCCATAATCAGGATGTCCTGATTCTCGGTTAATACTAAACCAAGATATCTATCAGGTTGAGATCTCGGCCTCTGAGACCTACGTAGGGTAATGGATTGAGAATTTGCATTGTCGGTTCGACTTTGCACATTTTGATCATTTTGACCTGCGTCAACAGATGCTGTTTAAGCACTTTGACTGTCATTATGATTTTGTTGCTCATCCTCACGAACTTCGTCGAGTTCGATTTTCCTCCCACTTGTCATTTTGGAAAGGTGCTCCTTCTCCAAAAAGACACCATCGCGAGCAACAAACACTTTGTTCTCCGATTTGTTGTAGAAGTAATACCCTTTGGTTTCTTTTGGGTAGCCCACAAAGTAAACCTTGTCAGAAATCAATTTCTTGACATATGCTTTGCATCCCCATATCTTTAGAAAAGCTAACCTAGGAGGTTTCTTCGTCCATAATTCATATGGAGTCTTTTCTACAGCTTTTGATGGAGCACGGTTCAGTGTTAGTGCCGCAGTTAGAAGTGCGTGTCCCTAGAAAGAGATAGGACCCAATAAGTCACTTGCCCTTTCTCCCAACTTGGAGAATGGTTGTTTAATCATCTTTCCTAATAAACATCCCTCGCAATTCTCAAACGATTCTAAATCGAAAGAGTCAAGAACACCTTCTTGTAGAAGTTTCTTGATGCGTTTGATGTTGATGTGGCCAAGACGACAATGCCACAAGTAAGTCTGATTTGACTCTATGGTCTTAGCTCTTTTGGTATCATTATTCACATTATAAACTTGTTTGTCTAAAGAAAGCACATAAAAGCCATTTTCAGAATGTGCAATACCATATAAAACATTATCGAGATAAAACGAACATTCTTTGTCCTTTACTCGAAATTCAAAACCTTTGGCGTCCAACGCCGAAATTGAAATAATGTTTTTGGTAATGTTAGGAACATAATAAACATTATCGAGTTCCAAAACTAGCCTGGTGGGTAAAGACAAACTGAGAGTTCCTACGGATACGGCACCAATTCTGGCTCCATTGCCAACCCGGAGTTCAATCTCTCCCTTCTCTAGCCTTCTAGCGTTCCTTAGTCCCTGAGAATTGGAACAAAGGTGTGAGCCACATCCGGTATCTAATACCCA